AAATATTTATATAGGGTATGATTAGTGATTAAAATAGTTGTTATAGTACTGACTGTAGTAGCATAAATATTTATATAGGGTATTATTAGTGATTAAGTTAGTTGTTATAGTACTAACTGTAGTAGCAGAAATATTTATATAGGGTATTCTTAGTGATTAAGTTAGCTGTTATAGTACTAACTGTAGTAGCAGAAATATTTACATAGGGTATTATTAGTGATTAAGTTAGCTGTTATAGTACTAACTGTAGTAGCAGAAATATTTATATAGGATGTTATTAGTGATTAAGTTAGCTGATATAGTACTAACTGTAGTAGCAGAAATATTTATATAGGGCATTATTAGTGATTAAGTTCGTTGTTATAGTACTAACTGTAGTAGCAGAAATGTTTATATAGGGTATTATTAGTGATTAAGTTAGCTGTTATAGTACTAACTGTAGTAGCAGAAATATTTATATAGGGTATTATTAGTGATTTAGTTAGTTGTTATAGTACTAACTGTAGTAGGAGAAATATTTATATAGGGTATCATTAGTGATTAAGTTAGTTGTTATAGTCTGCTTCCATAGTAAAGTACTAACTTTAGTAGCTAAAATATTTATATAGGGTATTATTAGTGATAAAGTTAGTTGTTATAGTCTGCTTCCATAGTTTAGCTCTGTGATGTTTTTATAGTTTTGTTTAATTTCTTATTAAGATGACTTATGTCAATTTTGTAGAAGGGAATTTGTCTATGCCATGTCTTGTATAAAAATCAGTTTATGTAAAAGTGTTCCATTCTTTTATTTCTTTAACAACTATTTGTAATTGCTAAATGTATTTACTTTTAATTTCAGGCACTTCCAGTCAGTAGAAAGAAGGAAATTTAATGAAGTGTGGAACCTAAAAGATGCAGAAGTTAAAGACCTTCTTAAGAAAATCTTGACTGCTGACTGTTTGATACATGACCAGATTCTTGGACTACCTTGGGAACCCCCTGACTTGTATGTATTTTAAACTATCAGCATTGCTCCGTATAAAGTGTAATGTTTAAACACTAGCTCAGTATACAAAGTTTTCAGTCACTGCCTAATGCTTTTAAGTGGCCATTATTAAAAGCTACAGTGATGAGAAATATGGTCAAAGGCTCTTTCTCTAAAATCTGTATCAACACATTATTTGCATTTCTGGAACATACACATTCTTAAAAATACATGTATTAAAACCACTTTCACTTTGTAATATTTTGCTATCATAAGAATAATAATATGAATACATTGTGTTATTTCAAACTCAGAAAACATATTCTAGAAAATAAAGTGGTAAATTATCTCAAAGGATTGTTATTTCAGCCATGAAACTTTTTCTTATCTTACTGTTGAAATATCTCTTCATTGAGTTAGCTCAATTAGTTGAGCTTTTTGAAAATTTTACAATCCCAAAAATGTATCTTATCACTTTTGAAGCTAGTTGTTTACTTATATATATATATATGCTAATTTATTTTAAATTACTACAAAAGTACACTATCTTGAATCACATTTCAATCATTCTGGATCATCCTGTCTTACACACTCCATTTCTACAGTATAACTTTCTTTATCCCCTTCCCTCAGTCATTCTGGAGCATTCTATCTTACATACTCCTATCTCTACAGTATATCTTTATTTATCCCTTCTCCTCAGTCATTCTGAATCATCCTGAGTTACACACTCCATTTATACAATATAACTTTCTTTATTCCCCTTCCCTCGTTCTGGATCATCCTGTCTTACACACTCCATTTCTACAGTATAACTTTGTTTATTCCCCTTCCCTCGGTCATTCTGTATCATCCTGTCTTACACACCCATCTCTACAGTATGACTTTCTTTATTCCCCTTCTCTCAGACATTTGGGATCATCCTATCTTACACACTCCACTTCTACAGTATAACTTTCTTTATTCCCCTTCCCTCAGACATTTTTGATCACCCTATCTTACACGCTCCACTTCTACAGTATAACTTTGTTTATCCCCTCCCCTCAGTCATTCTGGATCATCCTGTCTTACACACGCCACTTCTAAAGTATATCTTTCTTTATTTCCCTTCCCTCAGTCATTCTGGAGCATCCTATCTTACACATACCACTTCTACAGTATGACTTTGTTTATTTCCTTCCCCTCAGTCATTCTGGATCATCCTGTCTTACACACTCCACTTCTACAGTATATCTTTCTCTATTCCCCTTCCCTCAGTCATTCTGGAGCATCCTATCTTACACATACCACTTCTACAGTATGACTTTGTTTATTTCCCTCCCCTCAGTCATTCTGGATCATCCTATCTAACACACACCACTTCTACAGTATAACTTTGTTTATCCCTTCCCCCCCCCGTTCATTCTGGATCATCCTATTTTAACACTCCACTTAACATAATGTATTGTTTAGGGTCAACCAGGGACCTATTGGTCCATCTCAGCTTTCCCATCCTCTAAACTAAACTAAAACTAACGTTGTTTATCCCCCTCCCCATGTCCATTCTAGTATTCTGACAATCCAAAAGTGAATATTTTTTGATTTGCATTTCATTGTAACAATGTAGATTTCAATGTTATCAGTGGTTTTGCACAGTTAGTTGTGTCTCATAAAAGTATCAACCTGTAGAAAATGACATCAAAGAAAACTACTGACACTGTGGTACCGTTACATTTCAGGAAAGATACATGTAGAACACAGTATGAATAAAGAGATGTTTATCTGTTTAACAAACACAACTGGTGTCAATTTGGTACCATCATACCTCAGGAAAGATACATGTAGAAGTCATTATAAATAAAATAAATGTTTATCTGTTTAACAAACACAACTGGTGTCAATTTGGTACCATCATACCTCAGGAAAGATACATGTAGAAGTCAGTATAAATAAAATAAATGTTTATCTGTTAACAAATACAACTGGTGTCAATTTGGTACCGTCATTCCTCAGGAAAGATACATGTAGAAGTCAGTATGAATAGAGTAAATGTTTATATGTTTAACAAGCACAATTGGTGTCAATTTGGTACCATCATACCTCAGGAAAGATACATGTAGAACACATTATGAATAAAGTAAATGTTTATCTGTTTAACAAGCACAATTGGTGACACTGTGGTACTGTCATACCTCAGGAAAAATACATGCACAACTCAGTATGAATAAAGTAAATGTTTGCTTAATAAACACAACTGATGACACAGTGGTACCATCATACCTCATGAAAGATACATGTATAAGTCAGTATGAATAAAGTAAATGTTTATCTGTTAATAAACACAACTGATGACACGGTGGTACCGTCATACCTCATGGAAGATACATGCTGAAGTCAGTATAAATAAAATAAATGTTTATCTGTTTAACAAGCACAATTGGTGACACTGTGGTACTGTCATACCTCAGGAAAAATACATGCACAACTCAGTATGAATAATATAAGTGTTTGCTTAATAAACACAACTGATGACACAGTGGTATCGTCATACTTCAGGAAAGATACATGTAGAAGTCAGTATGAATAAAGTAAATGCTTATCTGTTAATAAACACAATTGATGACACAGTGGTATCGTCATACTTCAGGAAAGATACATGTAGAAGTCAGTATGAATAAAGTAAATGCTTATCTGTTAATAAACACAACTGATGACACAGTGGTACCGTCATACCTCATGGAAGATACATGCTGAAGTCAGTATAAATAAAGTAAATATTTGTTGAATAAACAAAGGAGAATGAATTTTATCAAAAGTATTCTATCAACTATTTGTGTTTTCTTTTACATTGTCTTTATTCAAGAAGACTAAGACATGGATTTTGTTTTGTTTTAAGAAAGTTCCTGGGCCCTGAAGAAGAATCTTTGCAAAAGAATTGTAAAAAATCAGAGACATCAGCTATGGATTTTATTCAAAATCTTTTTTACTCCAGATCAGGTATTCTCATCATAAGTATTACTTCCGATAGTAACTTATGTTGCTTCTATTTACATTTCTTCCTCATTATTTTACCCATATAAATAAACAAATAATCTATATGGAAACATATATTTAGTATTATCATGCTTTTACTATTGGTTAATACTGTGAGTGAACAAAAATTGGTTTATTCATAAAAATTTAAAGGAGATGTATTTGAATCCTCTTTCAGTGTAATTATTTTTGTTTAATTTGAGGGATTGATTGAATGAAATGCTGTTTTGTTTGAAGACTATGTTGTGAAGTGTTTTTGTTTTGTTAGAAACGTATTATGTCTTACATATTTCAGTATTCATAGTGGATTTGAGCCTGACATAGCCTGGTGGCTAGAGCACTTGACTTGCAATCTGTGGGTAGTGGGATCAAAACCTGTCACCCAACGTGCTCACATTTTTATTTGTGGGTGTTTATAATGTGATGGTCAATCCCACTCTTCACTGTCAAAGAGCAGCCCAAGAGTTTGCAGTGGGTGATGTTGACTAACAGTATTCCCTATGGCCTGTCACTTTAAAATTATGTTTTGTTTATTTACAGATGCTTTTTCTTAAGTTCTAGTTACTCGTTTAGGTACTCTATAAGATTTTTTTTATTTGTGATTTACTTACATTATCTTATGAGTTTTCTCTTTAATATTTACAGTTTAGTTTGTTCAACTAACTTCTTAGTCTGTTTTAACCCTAAGATTTGGATCATAGAGAAATTATAACTGTTTTGGTTATCACAATATAAAGGAAAAGATAAAAAACACTAAATTTGTCTCTTAACAGTTTTTTATTATGAGAAACTTTTGTGCTGATCAATTCAACTCTTGCTGAAAAATCTTCATTTTAAAAAAGTTCTTACCCCATTTTGTGTCAAGGTTATGTTGGAAGTCCATAAAGTAATTTACCTATAGAACACCTGTTGTTGATGCTAGAGTAAGTCATGTATATTCACTGGAAGAATAACCAAAAGTCATATTTACTCTAGTTTCAGTTATGAGGACAAGGTTGGAAGGTGTGAGAACATTCATGATGGGGATCCTGTTGAAGTTAAAACAATCAGGATCTGAGGAATTCAAAAGAGGACAATAAAACTGCAAAGTAGAAGGAACAATAAGAATAAAATACTTTTTTATCATTGTGATCCCTTGTATTGTCTTAAATTAGTGATTGACAGGCTTCAACCAATGAAAGTCACAATAAACATTTGTTGGTACATCTGTTTAGTGTGCACAGTGTACTAAATGTCATTAACATGCTGAAAACCATTAGTTCAGTGACAATCAAGTCCAAAGTGGAATTGCCATAAGCAATTATATCCTTGCTTTGGGAAGGCTTTTCATCAACAACAAAATAATTTGGGAGTTCCAACCCGAAACAAAGCTTTATGTGAGAAATAGGTCAAGGTTACCTCTAAAACATCATGCCAGTTTCTGTACAATTAACTCACAATTTTATGGTTAATAGTTATTTTTAATATTGACTTTCTTTAGTTAACTATAATACTGTTATGTTATGTTTTTTAATATTAACAGTTGACTTTGTTTAGCTTTTCTCTGAGAATGTTTTTCAATATCTTCAGTTTTTTTGTTAGTTCATGAGTCATTTCATAGTTGTTTACTTCAGTTTCTACAATTTATTATGTTTAATTATAAATTCTCTTTTTTTTTAACAGAGACAGGGCCTGAAAAGTGCAGTGAAACCTTGGCAGCCGTTACTGAGGGTACAACACAAAGAAATCTTTCATCTTCTGATATAAGGGATGTGTTGGAGGTTCTCTGTCAAGAGATGGTATGTTTTTTGACACAAAGACTTCGTCCAGTGTTTTTCATATTTGTGTTATGTAACAAAGTTTACTCAATGTAGACATTATTAAAATGCAAATACATTCTTGTAGAAGGTTAAATTGTCTTAAAAGGATTTTATTTGTTGGAAGTAAGAACATTTCTAACCTATAGTTATATTTTTTATGAGAAATTCAAAGTTCTTAATTCATAGCATCTTTAAGAGTAATTATTATTATTTTTCTCCTTTCAATACAGATGTGGAAATATAACTTCTTTTTTAATGATGTAAATAATGTGCTGAGGTTATTATTATTAAGTTGGTTTGAATCAAATCCATTTATTTCTTATAAATATGTTTAAATATTTTTATTTTTCACAACAGGCAAAATACAACTTCTGGTTTTCACTTAACATGTAAATAGTGTATAATGGTAATCTCTAAATAGTGTATGATAGTAATCATGTAAATAGTGTATAATGGTAATCTCTAAATAGTGTATGATAGTAATCATGTAAATAGTATATAATAGTAATCATGTAAATAGTGTATAATAGTAATCATGTAAATAGTGTATTATAGTAATCATTTAAATAGTGTATAATAGTAATCTCTAAATAGTGTATAATAGTAATCTTTAAATAGTGTAAAACAGTAATCTTTAAATAGAGTATAATAGTAATTTCTTTCATGCTTTCATCTTGGAAACTTTCTTTATAGTATCATGAATGTTTAGCCATGCTAAAGTGTTCAGTAACTGAGTTTCTGGTTGTCATGTTAATGGTGTCAGGAATGTTTAGACATGCTAATGTGTTCAATAACTGGGTTTCTGATTGTTAATAGTGTCAGAAATATTTAGCCATGCTTAAATGTTCAGTAGTTGGGTGTTTTTTTTTGTCATATTAATAGTGTCAGGAATGTTTAACCATGCTAAAGTGATCAGTAACTGGGTTTCTAGTTGTTATGCTTCAGGGCTATTGTCAAGATGCATGGGTCATAAGCTAGTGCATGACAGGACATGGCAACATAGTCTGTGTCAGGTTTTTATTTATGTATAGGCTGGATTCTTTACAGTAGGTGTGTGTGTGACTTGTTGGTGATAAATTTCAACATTCGGGTCGCAGGTTTGAATCCTCGTCCCACCAAATATGCTTGCTTTTTCAGCCACTGGGACATTATAATGTAATGGTCGATCCCACTATTCATTGGTAAAAGAATATCCCAAGAGTTAGTGGTGGGTGGTGATGATTAGCTGCCTTCCCTCTAGTCTTTCACTGCCAAATTAGGGACAGATAGCCCTTGTGTAGGTTTGTCGAAATTTAAAACAAACAGACAAACAATTTCAATAATAAACAAACAACACACAGTCCACTTGTTTTGAAATAATATATTAAAACAAGTCAAAAGGTTATACAAATGTTCATTACACTGTTTGTTATCACAGTTGTATGTGGAGCTTTAAGTAATTATCTGTTCTTCGTAAAAGTCCACACAGGCTAGTTCAATTACTTTAGAACACAATAGAAAAGACAACTTATTCTTCTCTAGTCTGTTAGTACAATCCAATTTTTAAAATTCGCCACTGTCCACTTTTTATGGCTAAACTCACAATCATGCAGTCTAGATCTATCTCTTGAAGTAAATTTCCAATGCATATTTATACCCTGACAGAGGTCTAAAACGTTCCACAGAGTACTAGATATTATGATGCAATAATACTCAATTAAAGCAAGGAGAAAAAACTCAGAAGGCTCTAGTAACATGATGCGACAATATAACAATCATGAATTCATAAATATTGAACTACACAACATGTGATTTATAAACTAACCTGTGATAAACTATCAGTTCTAAAAATAACTAAATTTAACACTCACCCTATATAATCTATCTAAATCATAATACTTGCATTAAACATAAACTGAAACAGTCGTGCATGTCTAACAGACTTTAATGAAGCATTGAGACTCCAAAGTCATATTGATATAACTTACTCAACCCTCTTACTCGCAATGATGATACTATTTATGCTGGTATATGTGTGCTATGTATGTTGGTACTTGAAGATACCACAATGTTGATACATACATACACTGAATGCTGGTTTCTCTAGGCTACACGTAGACAGTGTCCATTTTGGTTTATGTCCTTTGAATAGTAGGCTTATGGCTATTGCTTGTGGATACATATAAATTCATTTACTTTTTATACATGGTAATTTACACTGATAGTAAGAATGGCATCACAAGTGAATACTATACAGATAAGTATAAGCAATACTAAGTATTATATTTTATTTGGATTCTACACATGAAAACATATAATATTATTTGTCGTCAGGCCTCCTCTGATTTTTGAATTTTGTAACTGTATAGAAACAAGAGTTGTTCGATGTAATTCACCAAATGATTGAGAAAGGTGGTAAGAAAGGCACGGTACAATGGTAAAATGTAGGTAAAAATTCTATGAATGCAGAGTAATTTAATCTGTGAAGTTTTATACTTAGTAGAGCTACAGGTTGTTATGTTACTTTATGTTCTTGAAAGTATAATTTGTAGCTTACACAATTACTTTTAAACTTCATTCCTCACTTTGCTGCTCTAGCAATTTCTATTAGACCAAAAAGTGGAACAGCTGACAGATCCACTGGATGAAAAAGAGAAACTACTCATGACTTTGGATGCAATCTTTAATGTAAGTATAGCACCACTTTCCACTCATAACTCATTGTATAAATACTTTGTTGGAAATTGATTTTAGAATCTTCATCCTCAGAAAGTAAATATACAATGAAATGTTACAGCTTACTGACTGCTGGTGTTTAAATTATTTACATTTCTATCTACATTTCCATCTGTTGTATTGGTTGAATTCATTATCAATGTTTCAGTACTTTTCTCACTCAGTGCAGTATCAACTAGTGTTGGATTGCTTGAATTCCTTATCGAGGTTCATTACATTAACATCTACTATGTACAATAGCATCTCCTGTTTGATTTTGCTGCATTTCTTATCAAGCTTCATTACATTTCTGTCTATTCTGGTGGAATGCTTGAATTCAGATTTAGATACTAAAACATCTCAATTGCTAAAACTTGTATTGTCAGGTTGTTTGAATGAGTATTGAGATTTCAAATTATCTGTTTTTATTCTACCCTAGTTACTTATGTTTGAACACTTCATTCTATTTTTGAATTGCTGTCAGTTTAAATTTCATCAACTCTGTTCAGCTGTTGTCACCTTCACTTATTTTAAGTTTGTTTCTATATTTCTACATCTCTTGCTGTAGTTAGTTCATGCCAAGATGTAAGTTCCACTAACTCTCTCTAGCTTTCTTTGTTTTTATAATATTTGTAGCCTGTTAATTTTGTACTCCCATCCAACTTGTTAAATTCTTTTAAAATCTCCTATTTCCAGACAGTAAATTCACTCTGTAACAGGATGTTGCTCTTCAATGTGTTATAGATCACGTTAAGAAAGAAGTTAATATTATGTATATTTATGGAAAAATTGAAAGACACAATAATATTAACTGATTAAGTATCATACATTTGTAAATCTTGTCAATTAACTTAGCATACACAGCTGCTAATATTAATTGGTTTTTATTCATTTGTACCTTTATGCCAAATAATTTAAAAAATTTGCTAACTTTATGATTCACTGTATTGAATATGTAAGGTTGAGAAGATTGTGAACATCAATCATTGTCTCTTACATTAATATCAAGGGACACCCACTCTCATTCACTTTGTTTTCGAACACTGGATCTTATTTTCTGGGCTTGATCTCAACAAGTCTGTCTTCTTACTTATCACATCCCAAATATTCTGATTCTTGTGGCTCTCTCATCCCAACAAGATTCTACCAACATAGTGGTCCCTTCTTCCTCACATGTTCTGGTGGTTATGCTTCGAGCTGGGTACTTCCCTTCTGGATGCATTTGCCACCCAGCGCATTATCAAATTTCCCCTCTTCTGTTCTCTGGTTCTACATTCTTTTGCTCAAGCACCAGATGTCTTCATCAGAATTGGACCAATCTTTACCTGTATGCTTATCCTCCCATTAATCTTCCTCCCCATGTTCTCTCTCTATTATATAAACCACTCTGTGTTGAGTCCTTCTCATCACTTCATTCTAGCCTGCACAACTGTGATTTTCACTCTTCAACATCTTTCATTCATCTCCTCCCATACCTCTCCCTCTTTCCTGATCCCTTCTCCATCAGCCTCAGTCCCCTAGCCTTCATCCCATTGTAACCACATTCCATCTTCATATGTAGGTCTATCCAGGCTCACTACACAGGTAGTCTTCCTGCTTTCTCACTCATTCTGCTCTTCTTTACTGATTTTTACCATGGAAATGATGCATTTCTACTCGCATAAATAGCTATTTTCGTTCAGTGCTGCCCTCTATACGTAAAATAAAATTTTATGCATGCCACAAGCCTTCTATCTCCCCTCCATTGGAATTGACTGATTCCAATGCATCTCTCATACAAACTATCATGTGTCAAACCTCCACCAATAAGATTGCGACATACTCTCATGACTCCCTCTATTCAATTCTACCGAACTATAACTTCTCGGTTGGCAGTACTTGTGTTCAGATGTTTTTCCATATGGTTCTCTTTGTGCAGTTGTGATTTTAATAGTTTAATTTCTGTAGTGGAATTTCTTCATTATTATTATTTTTTCTTTATATTGAAGAAATAATTTAATTTAATTTACCAGTCTTTTTTTTTTTGTCACACTCGCATATTTTACATCAAACACTTTTATTTGACTTATGTATTTCTACGATGAATTCTGAGGTTCATTTTCACACTTCGAGTATTATACCTCTAGCACTATTTTCACAGACAGCAGGTGGGGAAGACACGTCTTTGGATTTCTCTGTTATTATCCATCGTGAAATTGATCATTATATGGGTCAATCTTCTTTTCCTGAACTTGCCCCACTAATCTTCCTGAACAAGCCAAACATGTTTGAGCCACTGAAGATTTGATAGCCTTTTTTACACCAATGTTTTCCCTACCCTTCCTGCAGAAGCAACTAGGCCTAATATGGCAATTTTCCAGATTAATTCTCAGGTATGTTATGTTTTATGCAATTCCTGGTTTTTCTATGATTCCTTATCACCTCCATGTTGGCTCGTTTGTCATCTTCGACTCTCGCTTTACACTCGTGGTTTCACTTTAGTTGGGATTTTCTGGGTCAGTAAGAGACCTTGCCCTGGGTATATTTCCTGTCCATTTCTTTTTGGAATTTCTGTATTTTTTCTTTGATGATATGTTTTTGATCATTTATCTGAGACTTTAGAATCAAGTGTGTAATCTGTGCGTCATCATTCGACTCTTTCCTCTTTGGTTGCACGTTTGTCGCAGTTGGAACTACAACATACCCTTATTCCTTCTCGTCCTAGATCTTATCTACTTGTCCCTGTCCCCTTCCAGGGGTTTCTCATCTCGTTTTATTCAGTGTTGATGGGCATGTTGCCAACAGTATTGGAGACTAACCAGAGGGTTCTGGTCCAGTGGGAGCTTGTCTATATTATATTGTTACCCTTTGGCAATTTTTCACTACAGTTCTACGGGTTTTTTGGGACTTGGCCTACTATTTATTTCCCCAGCTCCTTTGTCCCTGCTACCATTTTCCTTCCCCATGACTTGGTTTCCTGCCACCAGCCTGCATCTGTCCAGGGAGGTACAAGATTTTCTGTCCCATAGTACCTGTTTATCATCTTACTCCAGGCTGTTTGTTGTCCTTTGTCCAAACCATAGACTGGTGGCCTGTACTAAATTTGTTTCACCACATTTTTCTTTCAATGTGCCCCATTTTACCTTGGAGTGGTTTGTCACCCTTAGGTGGGTTTTTTTCTTTGGTTTATCCATGACAAAGAGAAATGTCGCAAATAATTATTTGCATATTGTGATGTTTCATTACTCATGGCACTCTCTTTGGTTTATTCTTCACTGGTTGGTTTCTCTGTTTTGCACACTGCCTTTCAGACTTACTTTGGCCCTGTATGTTTTGTCGGGCACTCAGAGCATTTGTTTGATATTTATAGGCACTCAGGTTGCACTTTCTTTTTTCTTTGGTCGACTGGCTACTGTTTACTCATTCTGAACAACAGCCCACCTGTTACTCTTATCAGCTGCTCCTGGAGGTGGCTATGATGGGCTGTTAATCAAATTGGAGAGGTCCTTACTACGACCTATCCAATATCTTGTCCATTTGAGTGTTTTTCTTTTTCTACACACATCTCAGTCTGGCACGCCCTTCTCCTCTTCGACTTCATTCAATGGGTTTTCAGTTCGATTACAGGTTGCAAAGTTCTATCACTTTTGGGGATGTGATATTCCATGGTAACCCTCATCCCCTTAGGTCAGGCTCTTTCACAACTGGTGAAATTTTGTATGGATCCATTGTCAGCTCTTATTACCCTTCCTGCTATTCTTATCATCAATCAGCATTGGTGGTTCGATATGACACATTGGCAGGTGTCCCACTTCCTCCTCCTCTGGTTTTCTCCATTTCATAGATGCATCTCTTTGGGGATGGGGGGCGTGGGTTGATCAACTGGAAGATTTGAGGTGTTTGGTCTGTGGCTGAGAGGTCTTAGCCTATCAACACCCTGGAGCTTCTCACTGTAGGTCGTGTTTTCGTTTATTTTCTCCATCTGGCAAGAAATCGTCTGGTAATGATCCATTCTGACTTTCTTCAGTGGTTATTTATCTCAATCACCAGGGC